ACATTTTCCTCACCCAAAATGCTACCCACCTTTCCGATCATTCCTGGCTGATCAACCTGCCTGCAGAGGATGATACTGCCTTCTAAACTCACGTCCACTTCAAAAGACCCGACCCTTGTCAAATGTGGAATTCCATCTTTAACCCGACCCTCAACTTTGATCTCTCCAGAATCAGATATGGCACTGGCGAATTTTGATTCCACGTTGGCAATTTGAACTTGGATGGACTCAAGTGGACTTTCAGGCGAACCGTCCAGGACAACCCGTTCTTCAGTTATGCGAAGTCCTCTTTGTTTAGCAGTGAAATCAGCATTCACTAAGTTCACAAAAACACTGGAAATAGGCTCAATCAGACCCTTGATAATCATAGCACGAAGCAACCTTGTGTCAAGGTCATCTGGAGCTCTAGCAGAAGCATATGTAACTTTAACTGATTTCACCCCGCTCCCACCTGCAACTAATTGGACAGCAAGTCTACCAAGTTTTTCAGCAAGTGAAACAAATGGTTTCAGCTCAGTCAGAACCTGCAATCAAGAGGATTATAAAACAAGGTACCTACAGCTTCACTGATTAACTTTTGATAAATGTTTCCACCCAGAAAATAAAATGAATATAGAAAAAAAAAAATAGAAATGCAATATCAAGTTCAACACACTGTTTAAACAAATCAATGGAAGCTAGTGCGGAAAGTGAGCATAATAATTTTACATGCGTCGTTTATTCAGTGTCATTTTCCACAAATACTGTATTCACTTTATAAAATCAAAGAGATTGAAAAAGGTTATGCATAAAGACTGACAAAAGAAATGAAAATTTTGATGCAAAAATATATGTAATTAATTAGAAGAAATACCTCCGACGGAACCATTGGTGCATTGACAGCAGTAGCAGCAAGCTCCCCCTTCAAGGCTCCAACAACAGCTTCAGCTATTTCAACGGCCACTCCTTCCTGTTTACGAGTTTGAACACTATTTAGTGACATGGTACAAGAACTAGAAAACATACAGAAAAATTAGTGCAGCATTCTGTAAACCTGAGCTTCCATAGTACTAGCACCAAGATGAGGAGTTGCAGTTACATTCACGTGTTGCACCAATTTGTTGTCCTTTGGTGGTGGCTCCACTGTGAAAACATCAAGGGCTGCCTGCAAATAAGATTTTCTAAGTAATAATGAATAAATATCTTGGTTGATTCTTCCAGTTTCACTATATGTCTCAAATAATTAATCATTTGTTCTTCCAGAATAATGAAGCAAGAACCTGGGCTACAATGCCTGAATCAAGTGCCTTCACTAAAGCTTCCTCATCAATCACTCCACCACGCGCAACATTGACAATTCTCACTCCTTTTTTCATCTTTGCAAAATTTTCATCGTTGAGAATTTTAGATGTAGATGGAGTAAGTGGCATGTGAAGTGAGATGAAGTCTGCAGACGATATAGCTTCATCGAAGCTTACAAGCTCGACTCCAATTGCACGAGCACGGTCAGCTGGGGCATACGGATCATGTGCAATAACATGCATACCAAGCCCCTTGGCACGCCTAGCAACTTCAGTTCCAACCTTGCCAAAACCCATCACTGCAAGTGTCTTGCCAACAAGTGAAACACCAACGTATTTGCTCCTCTCCCATTTACCTGATTGATTACATTATAATAACTCGAGGTAATTAGATCAGTTTAAAGCTATAGGTGCAAAATGAAGCAGTAAACTATAAACATCTGAAAAGAACAGACATGGAATAAAAAAACAGCTTCACTCAAAGAGTAGAGATCCATGGATTATAAAAAAATAACAGAATATAGTAGCTTCATACACTCAAACCTGTTTCTGTAAGTTCTTCAATATTAATCAAATATCTAGCTGGGGTGCTTAATCCCCAGTGAGTTCATCTTTCATTTGGGCTACGAATGTGTGTTTGGGTTGGGATTGAGGTCCACCATAACAAGGCATCAGTTATCTTTATATTCTAATGGCAGCAAATTCAAAAGATCGCAACAATCAGACCTAACATCATTCTACCGTCTTAAGACCAAATTACATTTAGCATATTCCGGATCTGAAGCTTTATTTAATTAAATTCGCCTTTTGGTATTCAAATTCACCAAAAAAAAATTAACTGTTAGAAGAAATGTTACGAATAACTTTAACAAAAAAAAACTAATTTTGAATTTTTTTTTTTTTTTTTTTTTTTT